CATTTTACATCGGAACTTAATTTTTATGTTATAAAGGCGGACAAAATCATTGGATGTGGGTGGGTGTGTGACTGTGGCGTGGGTGTCGGTGCAGATATTGCCACACCCAAAACAACGATGATGAAGAGAGTTTTAGATTTTCTTCAAGGGAGTCCAATAAAGAACATACTTTTATTGTGGACATTTATATGTCCGTTTTTGAGGCACCGAGTGATAAGTGTTTGCATGAAAATTGGATAAGTGATAAACTGAAGAAATAAAAAGCAGACAGATTATAACTTGATTTTGTCATATAGCATTGAGAAAATCTTGTACTCCCTCATCAATGATTCGATTCGAGGTAAGGTTTAATCTGATGCGTGTCTAGATAAAAAATGGGGAAAAAATCAGGTGAGAAAAACAAAATTTTTGATTGTTCAATTTTCTTCTAGAATATTCGATAAGGATAGGGCTCCTTTATCACCGATTTCAGTTCAGGAGAGGTCAACATAAATGCTTGTTTCGTTGAAAATGATCTTATTTTTTGTGACATTTTTCTTCTCATTCATACTGATAAATAAATTAAATACTTTTATTAAATACAAAAACAAAATCTATTTAACAGATAAAAACTTCTCACACATGATAATATTGACTTCTTTCTGAAGAAATATTTTTCTTTTTTTTTTGAAAAATATTTGATCTTTAAATACGATAATAAATTTATTTTATTTAAATAATATTTATTTTGGCATAATTAATTCGCAAATCATCTATTGTAAAATTGTATGTTACTCTTTCTAATGATTTATAATTGATATAAAGAAGAATATTATTATGAAAATATATTTTTCTATTAAATAGAAATTCTTCTATATAATCATCGTGAACTTTTGCAATATCAAGTGTAATAAGATTGTTTATATTTTTGTAATTGATGATTAACCAAAGTTAAATTTTCCATAAATGAAAATGATTGAGAAATTCGAATAAAAAATTCATGTTCATCATATAATGATACTAGACAAACACATTGATATAATTCACCTGAAAAATGATTTGTTATCTTTTGATAATATTGCATTTCAGATGGATATGAATAAACAGGATTTACAAAAATTGGTCGAAAATTCGAAATAAAAACAAAAAGAATTTTTTAACAAAAACGACCACAGTGTGAAAAATAAAAAAATATTATATAGTATATAAGGTGTCGCCTATACTTGAAATTCTCGTGGCAAAACCCTGCAAAAGTAAAATGGATGCCAACCTTTTTCCAGAACAATTGACTCTAAGCAAAAGAAAAATCTAAAAATAATGACTGTGGGTGTTGCAGCGAGCCTTTTTGGACCTCATCACATGATCACACCCACAATTACATCTACCTCTACCCCCGCCCACGCCCTATAGCACTCTCGAAATGCGTTTTTTCTAATTCAAGACTACTGTCAGAATTTATTTTGATATAATTTTATGAAAATTCGCGAATCTAAAAATCTTGATTTTGAAAAAAGATTTAGTTCATATGTTGCACGCATCAGTAAGTCATTTGTTTCATTGTAATGAATTGCATTTTGATAATGGCGTCTTCCGTTTTGTTTTTGGAATGCTTTAACTTATTCGTCTCAGTTGAAACTTATATTATTTTTTTATTATGAACTTTTCAATTATTTCTCGCATCGACCAATTTTCGCTTTCCTCGAATAAATATGATATTGACCCAATTGTTTTTCAAGAAAACAGTCCACATAAGATATCTTTCTAGTATATTGAAAATCTATAAATGTGCGTTGAATATCTTCTTTCAATGGTAAATATATCTGCTCATTAATAAACATAAGTGAATGAATATGAAATGCAAATATATTTATTGCGGCATATGTGAGAATATATTTTTCTTTAAATGATTTCTATCAATAAATGTATTCTTAATATAGATCGTAAGATATAAAACAAGTTTTTATAAATCTGACATTCGATATAGAAGTGACAGAATTAATTCATTATAACATGATATTTCCCAGCAAAGATCGAAACAGAATCGAGTCGAGTTTGACTCGAAGGACTCGGTTTTTTTTTGAAAATCTTCGATAAATCCTTGAAAAGTTTTTTGTTTGAGAATATTTTGATCGTTTGGTTGATTGATATGATACAAGACTCATTCATCGCAAACCAGTTAGTCTCTTCCGCTGCATTGCACATATCTGAGCTATGAATAGATCTCAATGAATTAACTTTACACTGAAAGCAAGTTGAATGAAGATTTTCTTAACTCATTTTGATCTCTTTTTCTCAAGCACATAATAAAGCAAAACACTTTACATTTGAGATTTTTACCTAGAACAATCAGAAAAAAATCAAATTTATTTTCTTTTAAATCTAATTTTATTTTCAGTTAATTCTGCTGAAAAAATAATATTAGCTAAATCAACAATGAGTGTATGAAGTTAATTGAAAAGACCATCAAGAAGATAAAAACATTGTGTGAAACTTCGAGATGGAACATCAAATAATCAATGAACAATATCTTCATATGATGATTCAGAAAACATTAAATATGTTAAATTGATAAACACATAGATATACAATTATTAATCGATATTTCTATAAATAATATTTTTATAACTTCATATTGAAATATAAAATAGAAAAATTCTTTCATATATTCAATGACCTATTCAACTGTATTAATAATTTCAACAAAATATACGTAATCATTTTAAGAAAATTTTCATTTATTTAGAATTAAAAGAATTCTATTCAGATTTTCTTACTGATAAAAAGATGTTTACCTTTCTGTTCTTTCATATTATATAGGTCGAGTCCATATAAGTTAGAATAATTTGCATCACGTAGAATATGTTTTACAGATGATAATTCAAGATAAAATCATTTGATTTTCATAGATATATCAGGTAAAATTTATAAATAAAATTGATCCAATATGACATTAGAAGAAACTGTATTAGATGACCTTTTGACAAAGTTCAGACTACTATAATGAATATTGGATCACGTATAATTCTATTCAATCGTTTATTAAAACCATGATAAGAATAAAGTAAATCAAGATTGTCCAATTTTTGGAAAAGTAAAAATCAAAAGAATTTCATCGGATAAATTATTCAATTCGACGCATGACTCAGTAAATAAAACTAAAGTAAGAAACGTGTTTGATGTTGTTACTTCGAAATATCAATCATATTTCTGAACTAATATTGTAATTCAGCATTTTTTTTTCAGAATATATTTATTCATTCTATTTGATCGATGTCGTTAAGCAGAACAAGAATAACGCATTTTTCTCAATAATCGAAACTGTCAATGATTTAACGAGTTTATAGTTGGAAGAATGTTGTTATTTGTTAAAGATGAACAGTCTTCAATTTATTCTTATGTGATGATCTTTTCTTTTGTTTCTTTGTAATAATTCATAAATATATTTAATATAGAAAAAAAATATATAAAGTAAATTATATTCTATGTACTATCTATGACAAAGTACAGGATGAATATATATAAACGGTCATATTCTTTCCATGTATGAAGTATTTTAAGAATATTTCAATATGTTACATATATCTCATTAGAACAACATTTTTTTTTTAAATATTTTCGTACTATTATCCCTATGAGATTTATCATAAAATTTAGTTAATCAACGTTGTTTTATTGCATATCATTGATTATATTTGTAATGAACTTTACAAATCTTCAAAGAAAAAGTTTTTGTAGAAAATTCTAATGATATTTTTCATACTTCAAGAAATGAAAAATACATTCGAGATGTTTAAACCATTGATTCCAATAAGTAAACGTATCTGATTTAATGTAAAATTGACTTTTCAAAGTTGAAATTAATTGTTATATAGAACAAATTGATATTAAAAAGAGAAAAGAAAAACATATCAACATGAAATATATTTAAAGTAACTGGACCAACATTTGTTAATCGAGAAGCCAACGATATAAAATATTCATAAACACAACATGAAACAAGTTTTAGTGATTGATTTATTGCAGTTGTTATGTAAAAGAAAAAAATTAAAACAAAGAGACAAAGAGATAGTAATCATAAAAAATTTTTTCATGCAAGAAAGATTTCAAATCAAAGAAAAATACAGAAAAATAGGGAATAATATTTAAGTTGTACAAACAGTACGATTCTAGTATTTTTGATCTCGTCTTTTTAGTTTAAAAATGCTCTCCCCATCAATAAGCATCAATCCTATAACTAGTATCAATGTTTAATTCATAACTAACATCCTATCCTTGTTCTCTCTGTCTCTCACTGGTCCTCGTATATCTGTTAGTATTCTATAGCATTAAACTGACACCTATTCAAGCAACTGCTCGAGCCGAATGACACTGTTAATTTATTCTCAAATTAAAGAACGATGAATTCGCATTTAATTTCCATAATGTATGAGCTAGTTCAATAATTTTGCTTTGACTTTGATATGAATACAATAACACAAAAAATAGTTTGTTTTGAATCCAGGAAGTTTATAGTCATGGTAACATTTAAAGAATGTTTCAGAAATTTTTCTTTCAATTACATATGAAATTGAGACTTGAAATTGATGGACAAGATTCGAACGAAGAAGACGTGAATCAACGAAAAAAAAATTGATAAATGGATGTGAATTTGTTGATCTATCTATTTTTTTACATACACTCACACTCTTCATGATGAATTCTCACTTTTTCAGACAAGACTCTAACTGCAAATTAATTATCATTTCTTCAATGTAATCGAAGTATCGCTAATAATTCAAAAGAGGAACAACATTTTTTTTTTAATATTCTTTATTAAATAAAAGAAATTTTTGATTATTCAATTAACATACAATTAAACATAAAGAAATGGATAACATTTTCAACTAAAAAAAACAATATAATAGAAAAAAAGATTTAAAAAAATGCTGTTTGGTGTTATACTGGTACATATCTTCACTTAGTTCATATATTTCATTATCATCTGATCGATTAGCAATCAAATTTTCATCAAAATCAAGAAATCATTTGTAAAGTTCATTATTAATCATAACCAATTCTTTCCAGATTTTTTGTTCAAAAAAAGGTTGAAAATTTTCAAATATCATATTATTTTTATGTATAATACGTAAAAATTTTAAATATGCTTCTTCTGCCGTCCAACACATATCACAATTTTCGTTATATGGATGTTTACTTTTCACACAAAGTGCATTTTTATGATCAACAAAATGAATTCTTAAACCTTGAGCAGCACTAAAATCAAAACCATCCTTTCCAGCAACAATTGCAAACTCTGGATGATCCCATTTATAATTGATTTTATTCGAATCTTCATTATTACCCCAACGATAACATCGCCATAAATAACGATTACCACCATAAATATTAATTAAATTTTCTGGAATAATAGAATAAAGTGCTGTATTTCGATCATCTACTTCTGAATCACGTCGAAATTTACTTTCCGAATATTTTTCTGGAATATATTTCTTGTTGATATTAATAATAGTTGTATGTGCATATTCATGTGTAAATATACGAGTACCACCACAATAGAATTCACCTTGTACATTTTCTAATGGTATAGAAAAACAGATTGGACCATACCGATTGCTGTCTTTAAAAGTATTTGAACGATCTGTATTAAAATGAGTAACTGAATGTCCAAGCATAGACTTTTTATCAGGTATAATACCCCACCAACTTAAAGCCGGTAATTTTTCATAATTACAATGTTTTTTTCCCTTAAAATGTATTTTGGATCCATTATCGGCTACTGTATGTAACATTTCTATTAGATTGACTTTTCGATGTGTACAATGTGCTATTCTCGTGAATGGAACTTCACGTGGACCATACGATGGTCTATGACTAGTAATATCGAATTTAATTTGAACATTGTTCATTTCGTTTTTTATTCACAGATTAAATTTAATGTAGAATATAATCTAAAAGTGTAATGAAAAACAATAGAAAAAGATATTATGAGTATGAATACGAGTCGTAAAAGAGAAATAAACTCAAGATCGATGTAGATTATTATTATATAATATTAAAATTTTTATTTTTTCCTATATACATATATATCTTTATTTCAAAACTTACAATTAAAATAAACAAAATTAAGAATTGTAATTAGATGTAATATTTGTATCATAATTATTTAAATAAGAGATATAATGGCATGATGCTTTAATGATTGAAATTGTCTTCGTAAAATATTCTGTAGCAATATGTAGATTTTTTCTTTTAATTTTATTTTTAATGCTAATCATATGATATTGAAACGGAAAAAGAAAAAAAAAGTTCATCTTTCTATACTCGTTTCACTATCATTTTATTGTCTGAACAAGGTCAAAAAGAAACGAAAAGAAGAAAATTTATACATTCCTATACAATGTCTGAAGAAGAAGACAACTTTGATAAACGAAACATCACTATGTGCATTCTTTCATTTATCTTATGTTTTGATATAATTTATTTTAATTTAAAATCTATCGAATCGTTTAAATTAATTATCGAACATCTTGTATTAATACTATAATTTATTATTAAATAATTAAAATTGAATAAATCTAACGGTTTTCAATGTAAAGAAATTTAGTCTTAATTAACTAATGAGACTTTTATTTGAGAATATCGTTGTAAAGAATTTTACTTACGATATAAATATCCTATCGATCATATTCCAATACAAATATAATGTCTAGTTGTTTATATAAAGTGAGCTTTTTTTTTCTTTCTGTAAATTTTAACAAATGTTTATTTATTTCTCGTATCTTCATTGTCAGAGCTACTTTTGTTTTTCTTTAGTCTATTCATAAGAAAAAGATTAATGCGAATGTTTGATTTTGTGCAATATACATGTTTCATCAACATTCCATCATGTCTAGTTCTCTTTATACTAAAATCAATTTGTATTATCAATAATTACATGAATCATCCTGAAATTTGCGAAATAACCATATCATATTCTTCTATAGTTTGTTTCCTAAACGTCATTGTACAAGTACAAAACTTTTGATTAATATTACGCAATTATATTAAAATGTGGATTCGCAATTGCATCGAATTTATTTCCATCTAATTAAGTAACAAAGAATAATAATATTCATTTAAAAAAAAAATGATTATTTTTACTCATTAGTATCTAACATTGTGATTATTGTATTACATTACATATCTGTCTTTATTGTAACACCAGTTGAAAAGAAAATTTAAAATATTCGTTTCTTGTAGACTTTTTTCAACTATTTAATTGATGAAATATATTAGGGTAGTAATAAAATATTTAAAATATTCATTAATAATTATACCACAGATAAATACTCTCTATTATAAAGACTCAAAATGCACATTCAAAATAGTTCAATATTTTTTTTTATTAAAGGTCACGGTACTGTTTCTCTATTAACTATTTTCTCTTACTATGACTCATAAAATAAAAGAAAAATATCATCTAGTAGTTTTCATTGTATTCTGATCATGTGAAAGTGAATAAAATTGAAATAAATAACAGAACAAGTATCAATGAATCGATGTCATCATTAATATTTCATTAAGAAAAAAAAAAGAAACTTTATTTAATAAAACTATCAAATATAGCTTGTTGTTAATATTATATACAATTAAAGACCTACATTCACGAGGACTATTAAATTAATAACTGATGAAAGAATCTCAATCGTTATGTACATATAATTACTTGACTTTTTTTTTTCTTTTTTATTATTCGTGTTTTCGAAGAAAGAAGGTAACGTTCGATTTTGCATATGTACTTTCTTGATTGTTTAAGTTATTTAACTCTGATTTAAATATTGCATAATCACAGAATGAGAATAACTTATGCAGCATATATTTTATATCAAAATACTTTTCGGTCTTATCCAATATAAAATTTCTCTTTTCAATTTGTTATAGAATTCAAGTTGAAATTTGTACATAACTAAATGAAGTAGTTAGTTAACAGTAAAAATGAAAGTAAAAAGAAAGCTAGCTGAGACTAGACAAAATTGTCTCTAGTATTTATTCTTCTAGTACAATCAAAATATGTTATGTACTGTAAAACAATATATTCGACTTTTTCAATATAAACAATAAATTTTGATAATATTTCAACAATCGTATTTCAAATTTGCAAATTTATTTTTACTATTGCTTCATATTAACAAAAATACAGATTAGTATATTTATATCTATGAAAAACGATCAAACAATCAAAGCAAGGGTGGTAGTTAATTGCAAACAAAACAATCGGACAGTCAACTTATGTTTAATCTTTGACACTGGGTGGAAAGTAAAAATTATGAAAACATTATAATCTAACTCACGTAGAATTAATGAAACTGTTCAATAAGTAACATTTTTTTATATCATGATCCGTTAACGAACTAAGTAACACCATGACGATAAGCGGCCATACGCTCATAATAATAAAAAACAGTCGTAAGTTATATGTTATTAAACAAATATTTTGATTCGTATTAATTGATGATATAATAACATAATGATAAATTATAATCCTAATTGTATGACGATACTAACTTTACTTCATCGATGTCATTATGGATTAAAATAAGTTGCTCGATATTGATGAATTGTTACCATACACATATATATATAAATGAAGTTAAAAATCAAATTTTTTCTTTTTATCTTTTTACATGAGCAAAGAAGAAAAGACAAACTATGTCACACGTGATATCGTTGCCTTGATTTTCTGCAAATATTAATCATAGAGTTATATGCTTAGTGTCAAAATGATGTGAGTATGAATAGTCCGTCTATCTGTATCAATTGTTCGGCTCACACTAGTGATCTACAAGACTATGACCAAAATAAAAACTATGACCCGCATATATCTAGTTTTAACTGAATAAATAAAGGGTGTGAGTGTGGAGTGGATCTCAGCAATGGACATACCAACACTGTCATTCTCATCCACATCCATCCCTCACCAACTCCAGCCATACCCACTTTTAAGCCACCTGAGGAGTTGCTTTTAGTTGTAAGATGAAATCACTATGATAATATTTTTATTGCACTGTCATCTTAGAATAACAATTTCTATTTGAATAAGCTAATTGCTGAAGAACTTTATTTCGAAAAGGTTGTCTTTTCAGCACTATCTGTTCTATTTAAGGTGCACAATTTTTTTTTCTTTCGCAAGAAAAATAGATATGCATATATGACTTTTATGTTTTCTTTCATTTGTACATCTCATCAATTATCTAGTACGGAACAGCAAAGCAAAGATTTCATCGAATTGCGAGTGAGAAATTTGTGCTTGGCACAACTAAGGAACATTTTTTTTAACGTCAGTATTATTAAAAATCAAAGACCAAAAGCCATTAAAATTAATTTGTATCAGATATTGAACTCAAGAATACTTCTTTTCGTTTTTTGTTGAAAAAATAAAAAAAAATTGTTGTAGTGTTGTTGTTTACTTTTCCACTTTTGTACATTTTCCCAAATATTGTCGTACTATTCTAAGTTCAATAAGGTATTTCTTATAGTAAGAAATTTCAAAACACTTTCAATATAGAAAAAACTGAAATTAATTTGTTATTTGAAAAAATCTTCATTTATTTTCAAGCATTTTTGTTCATTCTTTCATGGAAATGAAATTGTTATCAAGATGTTTTCCTTCACTTTCCATTTCTTTAACATTTTCCAATAAAATGAAAATGAATTTTGACCTTTTCATACCATTTTATTATTGATCGGAAATTCTTATTATGATCTCAGCCAATCTAACCTCTAGAAGCAAATGGTGTTTTTTTTTTACACGTGCCTTCGTTTGTTCTCTGACAAAATTTAAGATATGTACAATATGACCAAAATGTGTGCAGCGATTAAGCTTTAAGCATAGATATACGTGGAAAAATAATACATATTGTTCTTTTTCTTTTTTTAAACACTGATAGAATGCTATTTAAGATTGTTGAATAAAATTTAATTCGAACCATAAATGAACAATGTCGAGGATATTACTTAAAATGAACTTCTTTTCAATACCTATGAACAGTTTAAAGCAGATAAATTAATTGAATTATAACATACATGCATTGACTATCACATCAAATTTTATCAACTTAGGAGGCATTGCACGTAAGCCATGACCAACGTTGCTCGATCGATGTCACCGATTTCGCTGATATTGTTACAGTATATATCTCCAACAAAGTATGAGTGTAGGCGTGGTACAAGTGACCCACATACGCTGTCATATCTGCACCGATGCGCACACCCACACCCACACCACACCTTTTTTCGAGCATTAGAAAAGTATGTTGCCAATGGCCAACTGAAACCAACGAGCATGTGGGTGTGGGGTTTTAACAAATTCTGCGTTCAATTTATTCCAACTCACACCCACACCCACACTCAGGTTCAATCAAAATTCAAATTTCAATTTTGACAAAATTATATTAGGCAAAATTAAACTTTTAATTATGTTCTAACAAAACTCAGACTCGAATTTTGACTGGGCAAATTTCAAATTTCAGTTTAACCTAATTTTATTTTGACCATACATGCATATATTGTCTTTAACATTCGTGTCCGATGCTACCAAGCGTAATGATAATATAATCGGGACCGATTTCAACTTTAGTAATGACCATATTTGCATTATATGTAAGGCAATTTTGCCAGTACTATGTGACCTTTTCAGAAGAATCTGCAGTTTTTTCTTTTTTTGAAAACTATATGAATATAGGAAAATAAGAGAGTGTAAATCATTATAGGGTCAGTTTAAGAACTATAGCAAAATATAAGGCTACTTCGAGGCAAATAATTATATATTAAATATTAATTGGAAATTTCATTCATTGAGTGTTTTACCGTATGAGTAAAGATAGAATTTAACAAATAATTAGTACGATCAATCAAATCATGGTTCATGTTTAAAATATTCAAATAAAAATATTTTCATTTCAAAAATTAATAATCGATTTTAGGTACACGAAGCACTTAAACAAAAGTACAAAATTAGACGAAAAAATAAAAAAATTCCTTCGCTAACGGATAACGCATAAATCATCATTTTTATATTGGACCAACATAACCAAATGATTATGTATATATATGAGAAGAACAAATAAGTAAGTGAAAAGTTCAATTTATCAATGTTCAAAGATCATTTCACATATTCAGATATTGTTTGAAATCATTTCGACAGTTTTGCGTTTCGCAACACAGTACGTAACAAAACAACCAATTGAGAAGAGCATGCATAGAACCATAATAGAGGCGGGGAAGAGGACTAGAGCACAAAATAATTGTATTCGTGCCCAGTCTGCTTTCTCCGACATCATTGAATGCCAAGCAGTAACGAACGTGCCAAAAGCAGCCCAGAAGCCACACAAAGAACCAAATATAAGCCAAAATCGAGAACAACTGTTAGACAAAATATTCAAAAATGAATCAAGAGCAGTATTGCCATCCTTTTTATGGACTTAAAAATTTTTCTTGGATAAAGATGCTTTCATATCAATTAATCAAAAGAAAGGCGCTCGATGTTATTTGTATTCATCTCTAACTAACGAATAGAGAGTTTGTTCAATTTCTTCCTTTAATATTCATCGATAATTCATCTACGTATGTCATGCTTCATGATGTTATTCACCAGGCTATTGTTCAAAACTGAAACGACCGTTATCCTTAATACGCTTATAAGCCCCCTTCAACCAAAAAAATACAGTTCAATAAAAATTGTTTGTTGCTACGAGCGGCTTTTCTCCTTTGAACTCTTGTCAATAATCTGTTCACTTCTTATGTCATCGTTCACCGTTTCATTTTGATATTTTGATATTTTGATATTTTTCTTTCTTTTTCTCTTCTCTCAATGCCATAGATTGATGGAACTTCGAGAAGAACGAAGACATTGATACTCAACATATTATCATCATGACAAAATTTTATTATTCAGCATCTTGTGATATTCAGTTTTCTTGCTCTTTCTCTATTAACTGTACCCATTTCTTTTTGTTCTGCTGGATTGATGCACTTGCTAGTTATTCTATGTGATATCATTATGCAGCTTCATTGTTTTTTTCTAATCTATTATATTATTTAAGGAAAAAATATCTGTACTACAAACAGATGAGTGGCTAACCAAATTTATTACTCGGTCATCGAGTGCCCTGCAAAAAACTCTGTCTCGCCTCCTCACATGGCGAGGAACGACGAGTTGAGAAAATTCGGAGACCTTCCAACCTCTAGCCGGAATGCACCACCACAAACTATTTTACTATCATACATTGCAAAAGTCATTTAGATGATAGTATTTCGTGACTAGAGGTCATGCTTTCAAAATAGAAGTTTCAGATTATTAGAAACACGATTGATCATATATGATATCAGTTCCTTCCTTATGAGTAATTGTGGCAAATGTCATCAAAAAAAAACCAATGATCGTGAATCAAATAATCATTGCTTTTGCTTTAGAGTACCGCTCTTTTAAATATCGTTTTCTCTGCACTATAAAACGTATTATTTATCGCATATAGTTGTACTACAGAGTTTGTTTTCATTAAATTTATAGATGAGTAAAATATATCGATTCTTTGTACAACATTCGAATTCTGGATCCTTTTTTGTATGGTTTCATTCAAATTCTTTGTGATTGAATCATATAGCTAATAATGAAGATAAGAATCAAATGAAACTTTTACCATGCTAGAACAATCTATATTACTTATTTTGTCACGACTTAGAAAACTCGAATATTTACTTCGAACATCAAAATCAAATGACAATCTTCCAATTCATTTTACTTTCATAACACATTATAATACAATAGCATGACATTTACATTCGATATGGTTTTATGAAACTTGTAAACATACTTGTATGATGTAAATAATTCAATTGATATGATATTGAGTCATGTTCAACAAAAAATTGCGATCTCGAATCGATTTCATTTAATATAACGATATCGGTGGAACTCTTCAAGTTGCTTTAATTGAAGTAGTGATGCATTAAGAGGTTTTTATTCATTTCTACTAAAGCAAGATTGACTCTCGAAAACTGATACAGTGTCTCTATTCAAATAAAAAGTAAATCTGATTTACATACATTGAAAGAAAATTTTAACTGTTTTATTCCAGTCAAATATTATTGAAGTAATTATTATTTGTTTTTTCCATATTAACTCAAAATCAGATATATCAAAAAAAATGAATTGACGAAATAAAAACATATGTAGCCTTTTTATAAATAATATAGTTCATATTTCTTTTCATGAAATGATGGTACTTGATTACGTTTAAAGAAGTGTTGATAATATTCATAATGATATTTATTTAGAATGACTATAAAAAAATTCTATCGAATAATTTTGAAAAAAAAAAGTTTGATAAACCTGATTGTTTGATTATATTAAATAAAGATTGAAGATGTTCAAAAGACTTTCCAGATGAAATTACTCATTATTATAGAACAGAGATCTTCATCGGGTGAATTTTTACACCCTGCCCTCCCCTACTTGTCTGGATCGAACAGGATAGGGCAGAGTATCCTGTAGAATCGATATGCTCTCTGTTCAATAGCAACAACATTTGTGTATTAAATCATAGAAAATTGATTTATTTAAATCTATTTCACAACATCAATAACTAACAATTTAACTAACAAAATGTATGAATATTACCAAACGTAAGACAACTAAATGGCATAATATACGCAACTTAGACTCACAAACTTTACTATAGACCTTTATCTGAAAAAAAAGTTCAACAAAAAGAACGATAAAAAATATATGAAAGCTACTATCAATAAGAAAAAACAAAAAAAATACATAATTTATTTTTATATAAACCTTTGCCTATTGATTGTCTAAATAAAATGTTTTCTGATTTATTTGGTTAAAGATCAGTTCTTCTTTCGTTTAAGATCCAACTAGCAGCAGAAAATTGTCTTTCTCCGTTAGTTCTTGTTGCAAGAATAGACAAAACTGGTACCACCTTCTGTAACTTATTTTCGGTTTTTGACTTGCAAAAACAAAAAGAACACTCTTTTCAAAAATGAAAACTCGGAAAGTCAATGTTCAATGTTGCAGGGTATGAAGGTCTCACCCTGCCCTGCTTCAGGACATGGCAGGGCAGGATTGCCCTGCCCGTGAATATCTCTGTTATAGAACAATGTAGTATGAATAGTTATATAATAGATTTATTTTAACTGCAGGACCCGCACTGCTTGATGTACCCTGCTTTTGCCAATGTGATCAAGTACAGTTTAGAATGTAGTCTATTTTTAGAAAACATCTCATCATTTTTTTGCTTATTCATCTTCAACTATCTGTAATTTGTATAATTATATTATATATAGTTGTCAGTGATCGAACATTCATACACTTATGAACATGATATCATTAAGTATACACAGCGGACGATTTGCAAGAAAACAGGAAGAGGATAGAGTGAACGCATGATTAATTAGAGATAGAGAGAAAGCGACAGCGACATGATTGCTTTTGTTTTCTTTTATGAATGATTATCATGATGACTCATTCGACTGACATGATGATGAACTATCAGATTATATAAGTTCATAAATTTACTTCATATTCAATCATTTGAAAAAAAAAGTTTAACAATATGTGTACTCCTGATAAATCAACTAACACTCAATCAGTTGTAACTGATTATTTCGGTTGGCGTTTAAAAAATAAAACAATAACAAATAATCGTTTATTTAATATTATACGTAAAATTGCTGCTGATTGTGAAGCATCTTATTATACTCAACAAGCAGCATTTAAATTTCATTTTTCATCATCAATAATTGATCTTCAAAATATTCATCGTGAAATAGCGAACGAATTATTTAACGATGGAATAATAACATGGACTCGAATTATAACATTTATTTCATTTTCAGCTATACTAG